TTGTTCCCTATTTATAAGTCCTACCTCTTTGTCTGTTTATCACTTTACCTACTTAGTTATAAACATCTCTATTTCCTTGTTTTTAAAAGAGGTTTATTGCCTTAGGGAATGTGTGCTCACTGGAGAGGACAAAAACAGGAACAGTGAGAGGCTAAGTGAGAAATAACTCCGCAAGATGGATGTCCACACTGCAGTCTCTTCTCCATTCTCCTTCTGGGATATTGGGTATGCATTCATGCACTCAAACCACTGGCTCTGAGACTTGAAACATGGTTGCTCATTTGGGAGTCCAGTGACATAACGGCTGTGCCATCTACTGCCCCCAATATATATTTATATTTCTACATTGTTCCACAGTTATAACGGGGTAATGGAAAAGGCTTAATATATTTTTATACATATAATTGCAGCTGAAGTGCACTGAGGCAACAGAAGCCACAAGATTAATACTAATATAACTTTCCGTGCAGAGTTACTTCTATTTGTTGTCAAAAGAAACAATGATTTTCCTTCTTTCATAGTCATGTTTTATATTTATATATGCATTTTCTAAATATTTCCTGATTATATGCTACCTAGATTACAAGCATTATGAAAATAGTGACTGTCTCTCATCCATCACTGTATTCCCAGTGTTGGGTACTTAGTAAGTAGGTACTCAATAAACAATTGTGAAATAAATGATGAATCAGTCAACCTGAAAGAATAGCAGAGTACTTTAATATCTCTGGCATGGGCAGTTGACTCTTTTATTCATGTATTTCTTTCTACATAATGAAGGCCACATATATTTTCTTTAGCAAAACACGAACACACGGATTAGATTGGACATATTTCCTTAAGAATGTCATTTAAAAAAAAAAAACAAAACTAGCCATTATTGAGGACCAGGAAGTGGTGGTGTGGCTAAGGTGCTGGACACTTCCACATGGCTGACCATGGTTCGTGTCCTGTACCTGGTGGCTCGCTTTCTCACTTCCTCTCTCTCTCTTGGTCTCTCTCTCTCTCTGGTCAAATGAAAATAAAGGGATAAATAATGATGATATTTTTTAAATGGTTAATATTCAGATACAAAACAAGACAAGCCATTATTGTTTTACTAGCCACTCTTGACTTTAAAGCATTATGAGACCTTCTTAACATTTTCAAGTCTTTATGAAGTTACTTCTATGTTTGTTTCAGTCTGTGCTCCTTTAACACTTTCAATTATTGTTGGAGAGAAACTGGATAGGATGGTATAACTTTAGAGTTAAGATTAAGAAAGAGTTCAGATCTTGTTAATATTAATTTATAAATACTGACCAGCTAGATTTATATTTCAGATACTAAATGTATCTAATGTGCTTCATGATTATTTTATTTTTCAATAGCTTTAGAAAGCTATCCACAAAATAGTCTTTCCTACAGTGATACTCAAGGCCACATTCTAGTATTATATAATTGCAGAAATTGATTGATACATTTTTTTGAGAGATTTTCGCTATAGGGCGTTTGCACTCGCCAGACAGACAGAGACATAGAGACAGAAAGCGAGAAATCACCCCCCAGGGGGGATGGTCACGCTGCAATCCCTTCTCCTTCATTCTCCTCTCGGGATCTTGGACATGCATGCACACGCGCCTAGCGTGAGTTTTAAGCCACCGGCTCCGGGATGCAAACCGCGGTCGACTACGTGGGAGTCCAGCGACATAGCTATTACGCTAACTGCTGGTTCCTGATACATTATTTTTCAGGCTGATTTGTGATGTATCTATTGACATTTAGAAGGATAAAGTCATAATCACTTCAAGAAGAATATATTTCTTGTACAGCTAGTTGATAAAAGGTGGAAAGGGTTGCTCCCTCTGTGAGCAACCATGGGAAAATGTCTCCTGGACTCACATTAAGTAGATACATATGATGGGGCTGTAAAATTTTGTGATTTATTCTGGATTGGTCTCGAGTTGGTTTTGAGACTTAATCTACTGGGACTTAATGAACTCTTCATTGGATCAAATTATT